AGAGAGCAATGGCAGGAATTTAATCTTTACCTCCAGCTATTGCAACGAGCTGACCTCGCGTAAAAGGAAGAAAAAGTACCAGAGCAGATGCGTGGGTATTATTTTATCTGGGGCATAAACACAGCTATCGCGGCGTTATCTTTATTGGCACAATATAGCGCCAGGCGCTATCGGGCTGGGCACGGCTGGGCTAATGATTGCAGAGGCAGTACAACTCGCCTCCAGAGCTGAAGGAGCTGTGCAGGAAAGCTGTGGGAACCCACCGAACCCCTTTGATTTGCATTAACACATTTGTTTGGGCCTTTTTCTTTGCTGTTTGGGGACTTGCTGTCACAGTGGTTGGTTTACAGGCACAGAGGGGGCCCTTGAGCGGTTACACGGGTGAGTCTCTGGACCAGCACCCGCACCTGAGCACTCCACACGCTCCAGGGTATAAACCACCTGGGCAGGAAGAATCTCAGCAGATGTGACGTGCATGTGTGAGGGTCTAGCCATGCAGCTCTCGTGTGCCTACCACTGCAGCTTTTGCAGCCCCCTTTACACTTCATGTAAGGGCTGTTTCACATCACTTGGGAATTTGGCCTGTTTCTGCATGTTCAAAGATAAATAATTCAGGCACTGTATGTTTAGCTCTTTAAAGTGCGATCAGTTCTCCATTATCCAGAGTGCGCGGGATAACCTGGGTAATGGAAAACCCCAGCCAATGCTGCACAAGGCAGCGAGGAGGGCCAAGATATGGCCAGAGGTTTGATATCCAGCTGCCACGCTGAGCCCTGCGGTACCCATCTCTGCTCGGTGCAGAGGCAGCAGCGCTGCACCTTTCCCACGGCTGCTGCCAGAGCTCAGGGACCCACAGGTAACTGAGAGCTGGGGCAGGAGCCGAGGCAGAAGCAGACCCTGCAGCTCGCCAAGGCTCATCCCGGGCTGCGGCAGTGTGCCGCTTGCATCGCTGCCTTGTCATCGTCCTCTGAAGCAGTGGCTCCAGGATGGAGCTGGAAAGTGCTGCCTTTTTGTCCCGTCCTTGCTGTGCCCTGTGGAGTTGGAGGTGGATGGGCTTCTTGCACATTTTGCTTTCACTTACTGGGCTAAATTGGGAGCTGTTGAATAAGCTTTTAAAACAAAATTAAATGTGGGAGAGGCTGCTGTTTGCTGTGGTCAGGAAATCCAGAAAGCATTTGCTCCATGGACACACACTGACGTTGCTTTATTATATATGAATCGTTTCCTGTGCACTGAAGTTAGGGCATTGTTTTGGCTGGTGCTGTACAATCACTGATGAGTAAGGCCCTGTGTCAAACCGTTTATATTTTAAATAAACAGGGTGGAAAGGACAACAGATGTTTAAAGGTGAAGTGGTGCGTCAAAAGCATCCGAGCTGGGGAAGCCCCCCACGTTTCCTGTTCAACCGTGCCAGGCTGCATTCGTTGCTGGCTTCAGCTTCAGGGTGATGCATCCCTGCTCCTCAGCTCTGCTCACTTCTCCACATACGTGTTGGTCTACCGTGCCTTTGGCGAGGTTGTCCTCAGAGGTGCAGAGTAATTCTTTTACTTAATTTTTGGGGATTTTTTGTACAGCACCTCAAAATAGGTTACCTCTTGGGTGAGGGAGATGTAAAGATGTGGAGCTTGTCCCATGGGTTTGCATGAGCTAATAGTAACTATGATAATGTGTCCAAGGGAGAAGGTGTGGCAAGGAAGGACAGAGGTCACCTGGAACGAATCTGTCTCCTACAAAAATCTTTAAAAGATGCTGGGCAGTGGCATGGCAAATCAGTCTTGCCATGGCAAGATTCACTCGTAAATGAAAAGGAGTCTGTCCCAGGGGCAAGTTTGTTTCAAACTCTGTCTTAAAGCCCGCAGGGCTCAACGTGAGCCAAGGCACACCTTGCTGTGTGAGTGGCCAATGCACACGTTGCTACGTGAGTGGCAGAACGCTCCTCCAGAGCTTGGCATCTTCCCAGGACTGGGCTCATCCGAAAGGATCTTTGTAGCTGGTTTAGGGCTTAGGAGAAGCTGGAATTAATTTGCCAAAGCTATAGAAAGGCATGAAGCACATGTGATGCAATGAAAGCTGGGGGTGGCAGGGGTTCAAAAGGATGGGGAAGGTTTGGACAGAGCCTAGATGAGCACAGAGAGAGCCCTGCCCTCGCGGGCAGAGCATGGGCAGGGTGGCAGGGACCCGAGCATGAGGGTGCTGGGGGCTTGGCATGCACTCAGGACGTGCCTCGCTCGGTTTCTCTCCTGGCTCTGCAAACCTGCGAAGGGGAAGGATGCAGCGGGAGCGAAGGTAAAGATGTATTGCAGAAGAATTAGAAGAGTACTCGCCGGAGCGTAGTCCCTGCCCTGCTGCAAGCCACGGACACCTCCACCAAAGGGAGGTGGGGAATGGCGATGGGGAGGCGCAGCCCTGTCCCCCGCGCTGCCTGGGATGCGCATCAGCTTTCCTTGACATCATCTGGCCTAAATCTTCCTCACCTCTGCTAGTCCTTCATCTCAGGACCGTCTCCTTTCACTCCCTCACCTGTCAAGCTCAGCCAGACTGGATACGGAGCTCTGCTAGCGGCTGACGCTGCTGGTGGCTTTTCTTTTAAAATTAAAGGGGACAAGGTTTTTCCTTGGCTGGGGCTTGGTGGTGGGCACAAAGGGTTCTGAAAGGATGGGGCCATCGCTGCCCCTGTCCGTCATTAGAGCTGAGAATTACCAGGGCAGTGATGGTAATAAACAATGACAAGGAGACTGGTAATCGTATTAATAGTATTATTACTAACAGTATAATAATTACATTACTGTTATTATAGGGGTTACTATCTCCTCGGGTTTGGGAGGCTCTGATCATTTTAGTTTGACTGAAACCCTGATTTTATGGGTCATGTTAACACTTGCAGGTATACCTGCAATGATTTTCATTCAATATTTTACACGGGGATGGGTTTATGATGTGTTGTACCTCTGTCAGAAGCTTTGGGAGTATCAGGAGCTCTGGGCTGCCATTTATAATAGATCTCCATAAATCAATAAAACTCTGGTTTTAATGAATGCAAATTTAGTGCCACAGAAGGGAAGTCAGTTGGCTGGAGGCACTCTGAGAGCTGGAATCGCTCCGTCACCAGCGGCTGTTGAGAGATGTGTCTTCAAGTTCAGTCCTGTAAGCCATGTGGGACCTGAGATGATCATGACAATCTTTGGGCTAAATCTGTGCAGACATAAACCTTATTAATGCCCATCAAATGAAACTATCCTCATTTTCCCAAGATCCACAGAGCTGACTAGGAAAGAAGGGGAGGTGTTGTATATTCATCATATAAAGTCCGGTTCTGGGAACATTTACATTTTTAATATAGTTAAGTGTGCATGTATTTACAAGATTAGGTTAACATAGTAATAAACAATTTATTTAAAGATGTAATGTGTAATACAGATTTCTGGTGCCTGAATGATCATTTCCTAATATCGCTGTTATAAATACTTCCATGATTCACACCTCCTGTTGCAGAGCAGGCAACAAATCTCCGGGAAGGAAGTACAGAACTGGATTTTTTTCTAGAAGAAGATTTTTTCAGAGTTTTATTATAACTCTGATTTGAGCCAGAAATTCATTCACAGGAAACATAATAAATAACGAATGAAGATGGGATTTTTCAAGAGCGGTGGCTAGTGCTGGCTTGCAGTGGGAAATGCACTTCTGAAAATCCCCCCTGGGATTTTTACCAGACTTTGTGTTATTTTACCTCTGTAAGACCGTGTTGGTTTTGCAAACCGGAGCATCAGAATCCATCCTGCTCAGCACTGCGAGCTGCATTTATTATTACGAGAGCAAAGGATCCTGTAAATGAAAGGATGAGGTAGGAGGTTTAAAGCAAACTCTTGCACAGCTCCTGATTAAACAGTGGCAACCGTTGCCGGAGGGCATTGCAGAGCCAAAAGTGTAACTGTGTTCGAGGAAGGATTAGACAAATTCATGGCTGACACATGCTCTGATGGCAGTTAAACCCAGTAATCTCTGTGCAAACCTCTAGTTCGGGATGTCCCCGAGGTGCTGATGGCCGGCGGCCAGGGGAGCGTCGCGAGAGGCAGCGAACCCTCGCTGCTTGTCCTGCTCTCGCCCTCTTTATAAACCAGCCGGCAACAGCACTGCAATACCGTACCTGTGGGTTATTGGGAAACAATATTAGGAACTTTGCTGCTGAGCATGCACAAAGTGTGATGTGTTAACTTTAAAAGAGATAAGGGAGAGCTGTAGCTTCTCTTTGAAAGATTTCTGAAGGGTCTGAGCTCTTTTTTCTCCAGTCTTTTCCATTAGGTGATGCGCAGACACCACAGCCTTTTTTTCCTAAGACAGAGAGAAACAGAAGTGATTTCTCACACTCCAATCAAGTTTTATTTGAATGAAATATGACATTACACTGGGACGAATGATGGAAAAGTCCGAAGACGGCATCATCCGAAGAGAAAACACGTTGAAGCTCGGTGCGGCAGCTGTAGCTGTGTTCCCATAGAGTCTGAACAGCACGTGGCACCCGGCAGCTCTGAGTTAGCATCAAGGTCATGTCAGGCTTAGGAGTTAAAAGGGAAATTTTGACTGTGGTGATGATGATAAGCACAATATTTTTGTAACTGTTGCTTTTTGGCTGAAAGCAGCCCAGATTAGCAAAGCCACACTGTGGGAGTGTATGTTCTGGGTGTGGGCGAGGCAGCGCTGTTACCATAAATACCCCCGGCCATGCTCAGGTCCGGCTCCACTGTCAGCAGCTCGAGGGGCTCCTTTCTCTGTGCTGATGTGCTGCGCCATGCACAGGAGCTCCTGAGCTGGATGTGGGAGTCCTACAGAAATGCAAACAGTATGTAATAATAACAATAATTACAATCCAGATCATTACGTGGGTCATGCCCAGCTCCAAAATTTGAGTTCTTTGAGCATAATTAACCTGCTAAGTTCTTACTTAGGAGGGACTATAAATCGTGGCCTGTCTCCTGAGATGAGGGCTGGAACAAGGGACACTCTGCACCTTACCTTCATGGGTTGCTAGACCCAAAGCTCTGCTCCAGGATGAGGATCAGCCACGTCGGAGAGCTGCGGGTAGGGATGCAACTGTGGGAATCCCCCGGCTTGGGGAGGGAGCGAGGGCAGAGGTGTACCCCAGTCCCACTTTTTCCTCTGCTCGATTCACTGGGGGGAAAAAAGCTATGAAGAATAATCAGAGAAAAACATATAAAACAAGAGCAAATCTTTTGTGGGCACGTGACAGCTCAGAATTCATCGCTTGGTTGTATCAAGTAGCAATGCAAACGGGAGCATGGGGAAAATCACCTGTGCTGTGGTCTTTGCTTCTTATCCACTTGCTGTGCTTTTGGCACCGTGTCTGATGGGAATATTTACTCTTCATTTAGCAACAGCACAAACTCCACCGTACCAAGGAAGAGCACACGGAGCTCTCGCAGGGCACGAGTGAGGCGGCAGTGTCTCAAATAGGATCCCAGCAACGCCTGCGGTCTGTGGGAAGTGGTGCAGAGCATCGGCACAAGGGTTTGGGCTTTGGCTCCAACCGAGTTGCCATGGTCAACACAGCGTGTTTGTACAGCAAGAGATCATATTCATCAGAGCAACACCCTTCCTCTTTATGTGTGTTTTTGAAGTGTAATTGCCATTGAACTACCCATTTAACACTTCTTCTCTCTTGCTAGGAGACTAGAGACAGAGGTTATTTTCAGTCACCAAAGGTTTTACTTTTTTTTCTTTAAATAAAGCCTGATGAAAAAACCACATTATAACTGAGGCATGAACTTTTAATGACTTTGTTTCATAATCTTTTTGAAGATTCCTGTTGAACTAACAGAGTCTTTCAACTCCTTTTGTTGTTGGCTTAAAATGCTGGAATCGGATGTTGCTCCAGATCTCACGTACTGTGCTATTCACTCTGCCCAATCTCCCCTGCAGATTTTGGTAAATGTTGCCCTTGCAGTGTAATGAAGTACAGACGCTTGAGACAGTGATATCATCTGCCCATATGATCTGGGAAATGGTTATGAGCATCATGTGTTCGTGAAGAATATATTCCAGCATGCTATGTAGCATCCTTAGTTAGCCGTATTGGAAAGATTTCCAGATAGCTATTGATTTTCCAGTTCTGTAATTAGTTCAGAGATTACAAACATACAAAATATTGCTCCAGAAATAGATTTTTTAATTGTTCATAGCACCAAAACTATGTTGCGACTGAAGCACATCACATGCTTTCTGCAGAGAGACTTTGAACTTTGGAAAAATATTGCCCCTGTAAACAGGGACAAGCAATCACGTGGCTACTTCTGTTGTTATCTCAGATAAGGCCTGGATCCCACTCGTTCTGGCTGATTTTGAAAACCCATCCCTGTAGTTCCTCTTGCAGGATCAAGGTCTACAGGAGAGATCAGACTCTATCTGTGAGGCCGGATTGCGTCCCGGCCAGGAGCTGCCCATGCAGGTCAGGATCAGAGCAAGCATCAGCCATCCCCTGCGGTGCAGAGCCCTCTGTCTGGGGATGCCCCGGTGTGCTGGGACTGATGTTCACCCACCTAATAGCTTTCACTTAATTTGTGCTCTGTGCTTACCGTCACGCAACTGCATCTTGCCCCTCCAAACAGGTCACAGCCCCATGGAGCACGTCCCATGTACTTCACCAGCACATGCACCCCTCTGCGCTCAGCTGGGAGCTCAAAATGCCCCTGAGGAGGAGGTAGCCTCCTTTGCCCCCTTTCCAAATTCATGGAGCTGCTCTTAATCACCATTACGAGGGTCCACGTGGATGCCGTGATGCCACGAGCCAGCTACCGAGGGGCTCTGGCTCCAATCTGTGTGGACACATTTCTGAGCAAGCCTGCGTTTTGCTGGTCTGCTGCTCCATCCTGGTCTCTGCATTGATGCTTTATAAGTTTAAACTTTACACTCCTTATATTGCTGCCGGAGCTGCCTACTAGTGCAGTAAATGCCGTGCGCGCACACATGTTGCACCGGACTCTGCCCCAACCCTGGCAGGGCTCACGTTTCGCAGGTAGCTGAGCTCTCCTGAAACAAGTCCCATCCACCACAGCTTGGGCCATGCTCAAATCCTTTTTCCTCTCCTCCCCTTGGCCCTGCAGCAGCAGGAATTCAAGTCTCGGTCTCACGTACTGGAAAGGTTTACAGGATACAGCTTTAACTTGGTGACTGCCACATGTTTCTCGTCTGAAGCAACGGCACTTGCACGTGCCATTTCCTTGTTATAATTAAAGAGAAACTTAATCAGCTCCACTTCTCCTTGCTGAAGTAGGCCTCACTTTGCATTTGGCGTGCTGAAAGCCATTAGACAGCGACACGTCACAGCATCGCCTGCAGTCGGCAGAGGCCAGAAGTTGGTCTCCGTGGTGTCCTCATCCCTCCGGTCCTGTGTCGTCGCAAGGGTGCACCGTGCCACCGGTTGCTTTGTAGCTCCTCTCCCCAGTTAGCGCTTTTTCTGATTTTTAGTTCTCTTCTAGGATGGTGAGGGGGAGATAAGAGAGGAAAGAGATATAAAGACTGGGAGCGTAGCCAAGCGGATCAGTTACTGCAGTGGTCCTGAGTATTTGAGATTTTTTTTTTTCCATTTGCTTACCCAACGTTTGGCATCTGAGGATCTCGGGGAGCAGCAGGCAGTTGGCCGAGAGCAGTAACTTCTCCCACGAGTGTCCATGGCCAGAAGCAGACATATGATCAACCATCTATTAGAGACACCCTATGGCTGCTCTGACCTTCATCCCCGCACGTCCCAGATCCGCCCACGGACAGAGAGGGGGGTGAACCCCAGCCCTGGCCCCAGCTGCGGCAGGGGATGCTCCCACCCTGGCTGTCCTGTTTGCTGCTGTCACCCCAGGCTCTCCCCAGCAGCTAGAAGCTGCATTTGCACAAGCAAACGTGCCCTGGACCTGCCAGGTCTGGAATTTCTATTTTTTTTTCTTGCTTCCAGGCAACATTTTTTCATCTGTAATTATCAGCTGAAGAAAGATGCCTCTTCTCTTCTTCAGAGGGGATTTTGGGGCCTCCCTAGCAAGGTGCACGAGCCGGTCGGTGCTTCGCGCTGAGTGACTCAGGAGCCTCGCTGCACACACGGGGTGGGGTGGCCGTTGCTTATGGAAAATAGGAGTAACATCCAGTAAAAAAAACAAACTTCCTCTTCCAAAGGAGCTGTTGTTTCTCTCTAACAGGATAATGATAGATATTTTCTGTGAGGGCAAAGACAGGAAGCCCCAACAGAGGCAACAAGGGCATTGCAATTAGGGACATTATTAGAACTATTTCATTTCAGTGCCCAACTGTGCCAAGCATTAAACAAATCAGTTGAGTCACTTCTCTAAAAATCTTGCAAATTAAGAAGGTTGGGCAGACAGCAAAAATCCCCCAAAAGATCATTTCCAAGTTACAGGATTACATATTCTGCCATCATCACACAGGCAGTCAGAAAATTTGGCTACTATGAAATTTCTTCCAGAACCTGTGAAATCTCAGGAAGGAAGAATAAATGTTCATTTTTAAAAACCCCAAACCTTATAATAACAAAAATCATCAAACTGGGCAATCTTTGATTTGGTTGAGAAAGTACTTCTGCAACTATGTAATTCCCCAAACACACCCAGTCCCAGCAAAAGCTCGGGCAGCATCCCAGGAGATGGGAAGTGCTGCAGTGAAAGTAAATTTAATGAGACATTAACGAACCAGGCACCCAGGCACCCTCCTCTCCCTCGCCCGTGGCAGCTCCCAAGGCGAGTGGTGTCACACCGGGGCATGAATTCTCCTCCTGCACGTGCAATCTTTGCACCAGCCCATTTTTAATCTTTGCAGGAAAACAGTATCGCTGGGAGTATTGTTACACAAGAATCCTACAGGAGAATGGTGTAGAAGGAAAGGAGGAGAAAATGCTGCTTTATTCTTTACCTCCCAAAGCAATTACTGGGGGTCACCCGGCTGCCTGGGAAGCGGGATTTGGGTTGTGGATGAGAGAGTGAATTGCAAGCACTTTCCCCACCTCCCTCTGCTCTAGGACAGGTGGATATGAAAAAAAAAAAAAAATGAAGTATTTCACCCCAAGAATACATCTAGTCTTTGTGTATGTGATTCCTCCTTGCATGAGGGCAGAGGGGCTGCTACCGCTGGGATACCAGTATTGAGGGAAAGCACCGGGCAAGCCTTACTCCCCCCTAACCGTGCGCTTTTGGGGTCAGGCAATAGCTATGCATTTTGGGGGTTCCCCACTCCTTTCCCGAGGTGGGAGGATTTGCAGGATGACCTGCGGGCATTTCTCAGTTCTCATCTCCCCTCGGAATTCCTACCGGGATGAGGATGGGAGCAGCTGAGTTAGCCCAGTCTCACTCTCCCATCTAGTGGTAAAACAAGGAAAGGTGGTCCAGGCAGAAAGAAATTTTACCTTTCTGAGGCTTCTGGAGGGGGCTATCATTATGGGTTCAGTTAAATCCACCTTCCCCAGGATGCTGGGGGTCGGGAATGTCACCGACCTGGTGCAGAGGGAAACACAGCAAAATGCAAAGGTGGCTCCGGGTCGTTCCTCGGGTCCAGAACGGTTTGGAGGACCCTGCTCTGGGAATAAGCCACGAAGGAGAGAGATCTGCACACTGGTGAATATACCCCAGGTAAAACACTAACAGTCTGGATCTAAAAGCATGCACTTCTTGAGCAAAATAATGTCTTCTAAACCACTTGTGGTGGTGGGAGGCGGAAAGCTGTAGAGCAGCGTGAGAGCCGTGTCTTCCTACAAATAACCTCTTACCTTCAAATAGCCTTCGCTGCTGCTCTGGCCCTGTTGCAGACACGGCTTTGCAGCTTCCCCCCAGCCGCCCCACATGCAAGGGGAGGCGGAAGCTGTAGAGCAGCGTGAGAGACACGTGTGTCTTCCTACAAATAACCTCTTACCTTCAAATAGCCTTCGCTGCTGCTCTGGCCCTGTTGCGGACACGGCTTTGCAGCTTCCCCCCAGCCGCCCCACATGCAAGCCCCACAGCCACCCCACTGCCTTCCCGGAAAGACCTCTGCGGTCCCCTGAAATAGCAGGGGGAGGCACAAACTGCAAAGGCTGATCGCGTGGACAAGATTAGGTACCCGCAGGCATCGTGCTCAGGAAACGCGCTGTCGGAAATGTGAGCCAGGGGCTGCACTCGCTGAGCGTGGCATGCAGAGCCTGAAATTTCAGCAATGCAACAGCCTTTAAAACCTCTCCCAGGAGGTGACTATGGGAGGCTGAAGCAGGGCAAGGTGGGTTACTTCGAGCTGTAAAGCCGTGTTTTATTTTGGCCAGACCCACAGAGCTGGATGGGAAGGGTTTCCCCTCTCCCACAAAACTTTAAGATGCTCAAGGTGATTCAGGCCCAAGGAAGCCCAATTTTTCCATGAGGAAATGATGCAAAACCAGCTCAGTCAGTGACTAACGCCATGGGGCTGTCGCTCCCCAGGCTGGAGAGGTGCAGGGCTCAGGTCCTGCTGTCCTGCATTCAGGATGCTACAATTCCAACTCCGGTGTCCAGAACCCTGTTCCAGAGACCCAAGAGCTCGAGCAGAACAGACGCACTCTTACAGAAGATTTATGTTCTCATGTCAGATCGAAGAACTGTGGCATTTCCTGGAAGGTTAGATGATGTTGCATTTTCAGCAAATAAGGCCACAGCACAAGGAAAAAAAAAAAAAGTAATCTCTCATAGATCAGCTCTTTACAAACCCCAGAGGTACAAGTGCTCAGCTCACATTGCAGTTCATACAAAAAGGCTTTCCTGGAGCAGCATGCTGCTAAACTTGGCTTTCCCAGGGTGTCACCCACATAGTCTGCAGCGTGAATAGCCTCAGATGGAAAAAGATAACTCAGATGAGTATGGTACTCACTCCCACACTGTCAGATTATTTTAAAAAAAAAAAAGTGCTGAGCAGGTTTGGGAAGGCAGGAATCAGCCAGGTAAGATGGAAATCTTCTGCCAGAAGGAATGCAGTGCTCTGGGTGGTTTCCCAAGCAGCACCCACATGCTGCTGGAGGGGGGGATGCAGGCTGGACCTGGCATGGGCAGGAGCCAGTGATGGGGCCAGGCCACCTCGGGGCACACATGAGGCCGTGTTGGTCTGTGCTCACTGGGACGGGACATCGCTGGGCTGTGCTCGGTGCGGCTGGGACCAGGGTGGGTGCTGGCTTAGGGTGCTGGGCCCCCAGCACTGCTGGGGTGCAGCTCAGCCACCGCATCCCTCAGATTCTCTGTGTGTCGGGAGAGGGCAGCCTTCGCCGCAGATGGATGCGGCCGGGAGGGCGAGAGGCATCCACAACCAGCTGGCCCCAGCACAGCGGGAGCCGTGGCTTTTAAGAAAAGCTTAAATGAGAAAGTTTAGGTGATGCCCAGTGTAGAAGAGGGGGTTGTGCAGATGAAAAAGGCACCTTTCTCTCATGAAGACACTGCCAGAAGTTAAGCACTGTCCCATCTGCACCCTCGAGGATGTCCCGGGATGTGATTCACATGTCTGAGCTGGTGGGACAAAAGGGCCCCTGGAGCAAGGCTGGCCATGACTTGGTGCTCCAAAATCCGCTCTCCAGCAGACTTGTAGATATATATCAGGTTTCCCTTCTTCACTGCAAGCTCATCTACATGCAGCACAGACCACCAGGCACCGCATGTGCCACAGCCTGGGGACCCAGGTGGGACATCCTAGGCTTGCACCTCCAGCGATGGCCCTGCAAACCCTCCCCGGAAAGCGTGTTCCCTGCTACAGCAATGAAAAGAGGTTAATGAAAAGACATGCTGGAAACGTGGAAGCACAGTTAATGCTACTGCTGTGACGCTTCATTTGAGCTGCGAAGAGAAGATAAAGTTCTGCCTCCTACTAGAGGTGTCACCAGGGAAAATTATTCCTTCCTTCTCTAAATGGCATCACATTGTTTCTTCTTTTCAGCTTGCTGTCAACTTGGTGTCACGGTCTATTTTTTCATGAAAACAATCTGGTTACCTGGCAGTGGTGGTACCCTCCATCCAACCTCCCACCCCCCAGACAAGATCAGTACAAAAGATATTCAAAAATAGATTCACCTAGGAAAGACGACTAAATAAGGACTGCTCTTAGCATGTGAATAGCTAGCTAATGAAGACCCACTTAGCAGTCTCGGCATATTCATCAGCTTCAGCAGATGATCGTTGATTGTGTGTCTGCAGCTACTTTATTCTTCTTTGCTCATTACACCTAGGTCAAACAAAACACACACAAAACTGTGGCAGAAGTGAGAAGAGCCGATGGAGATGGCCATGGTGGTGACCCATCCCAACTGGAAAATTACTGGTTAGGATTTTTTATAGCCCATTACTATTTCTAGAGCTATTTCATCTAGCAGCGAGAGGTAGGTCACTTCTAATCACCAAGGGCGAGATCCACCTCATCACACCGTCCCATGTCTCTCATTAACAAGAGACGAATCTGAACAGTCCTGCCTGAGAGACCCCTTGGAGAAGCACCGGGCATGCATTTTGGGGGTTGTTTAGGATTTACCACTACACTAATGTGCTGGTATTGCCCAAAGGGCTCAGGGCTGTCTGCACCAACCTGGGTGCAAAGGCTGCGGGTGAGGATTGAACAGGGTGGCAGGTCTGCTCGGCACCCAGCTCCTGGGAGCAGCTCTGGCAAGGACTGCCACCCTCACCGGTCGCTGCACCGCTCTCCTCTGCCCAGAAGGACTTTTTCCTCTTAGCAAGAGATTTTTCAACCAGCTGTTAGAGTCCTGTGAAACTTATAGTGAATAACATATGTAAATACATTATAAGCTATATAAATATAGGGAATCCTTTAACAGGATTTTCTTCTTAAGCACCTTAGGACACTGATTTCTCCCTTTCCTGAAACCAAACCTGGAGGGCTCAGGGGGAGATGGCCGGTGGTGACCCATCCCAACTGGAAAATTACTGGTTAGGATTTTTTATAGCCCATTACTATTTCTAGAGCTATTTCATCTAGCAGCGAGAGGTAGGTCACTTCTAATCACCAAGGGCGAGATCCACCTCATCACACCGTCCCATGTCTCTCATTAACAAGAGACGAATCTGAACAGTCCTGCCTGAGAGACCCCTTGGAGAAGCACCGGGCATGCATTTTGGGGGTTGTTTAGGATTTACCACTACACTAATGTGCTGGTATTGCCCAAAGGGCTCAGGGCTGTCTGCACCAACCTGGGTGCAAAGGCTGCGGGTGAGGATTGAACAGGGTGGCAGGTCTGCTCGGCACCCAGCTCCTGGGAGCAGCTCTGGCAAGGACTGCCACCCTCACCGGTCGCTGCACCGCTCTCCTCTGCCCAGAAGGACTTTTTCCTCTTAGCAAGAGATTTTTCAACCAGCTGTTAGAGTCCTGTGAAACTTATAGTGAATAACATATGTAAATACATTATAAGCTATATAAATATAGGGAATCCTTTAACAGGATTTTCTTCTTAAGCACCTTAGGACACTGATTTCTCCCTTTCCTGAAACCAAACCTGGAGGGCTCAGGGACTGCAAGGTGAATGAAGTTTTAACTTAATTCATTTAACTTAATATTAGCAAATATAGTATTTGCTAATAACCTGGGAAAGAAAAAAGGGAACAAAAAAGAAATAAAGAGAGACAGCCAGATCCTGCCTCACCACAAGTACCCGTGTCTTGATTAGTTTGCTACTAAACTTGTGGCAATGGATAAAGATGGAAGAGGGGTGCTGTAACATGAAGCGCCACTGCCAGAGGACTCTGCTGCAATCTGGATTACGTTGCTGTAAAATCTGCTCTATTTCTACTTGTCTGATCCATCTCCGAGACCCCATTGATGGTGATTACTCTCAGACCCTTCGGTCTCCGCTCCTTTCTGTTCCCAACCCAGTAAACCATCCTCTTCTCACCAGTTCTGGGTCAGAGGAAAATGTTGTTATTAGGCTACCTCTATTTTATGGTCTTTTAATTATTTCCACCTCTGTGATTACACTAATTAGCTAACTGGTTTCTAAGGGCTGTACAGTAGCTCGCATTACACTTTCATTAATCACAGTGTTAG